CAATAGCAGCACCTGGTTTCCTTAAAGCCACCAGGCTTGGATGCACTGGGCAGAAGGGCCCCAGCCTGATATTTTTTTACCTTGACTGGCTCCTACTTCTGGAGGTACTTCTTCATGATGCTTTCAACATCATCCGCTTTCCTCCCTGCCCCTGACTCTCTGTTCTCTGGCGATGTGCGCTCCCCACCATCACCCTCGAGCCTCAGGGTTCTCGGCCGGCTCTTGATGCTGTCAGCACTTTTGAAGGACAGGATGGAGCCGGAGGATGAGGATGAGTCAGAGAGATGAGCAGGGTCTTCCTTGGGCTCTGGGCTCTTTGACAAAGCAGTGCTGATCCTCGGGAGAAAGGAGCGGTTGGCCTCTTCCGTCTCAAAGTGGACGCTGGAAAGCCGTGAACTGTCTTGTCTATCCTTGGCCACTCCTGACAAGGAAATGGGAGTCTGAGGCTTTCGGATGGCTGGGAGGAAGTCATCAAAATCCACATTGCTCTTACGTTCATAGTTGAGGCTTGGGAGCTTCCAGCTGAACGGGTCGCTGCCTGGAGGTTCCGGCATAAGATGGGCGAACTGGCGGTTCTGGAAGACAAGGGGCTCCTTCCCTAGTTCTGGGCAGCTGGCGTCATCCAGAGAGGATTCCAGACACGGCCTTCGAGGACGCAACACGGGGGACAAGAGAGGGTCCCTGGGTGTGGTCGAGGAGCTCAGTTTCCTCTCTGAACTTGATCCCGACTCTATGAGGGACTCGCAGGAACTGAACCGGGTCTTCAGCTTCTCGGGCAGCAGTGTGGTGGACTCCATGCTGTCAGAGGGGATGCACTTCAAGCTGGTGGACCGCAGAAGCCCCGCAGCACCCTCCATTTCCAGGGCTGACTTTGCCCCAACCCTCAGCGAGAGGTCACCCTCATCACTCCTGGCCCTGCCTCTCCGCAGTGTGGATGCCCCAGTGATCTGGTAGATGGGGAGGGTGGGCCAGTCCTCCAGGCCCAGCGGGGACCCCCGTCCCCTCTGAGCTCGCTTCTTCCGGAGGCCTTCCACGAACTCAGAGAGGGCCGCCGAAGGGCTCGGCAGCTTTTCCCTGGGAAGTGGGGATGTGTCTCTACTCTGTGAAGACCGGGAGGAAGACAGAGCTTCCAACTGCTCCATGCTCCTCCTGTGGGTGCCAAACCCTTCGCCATCCCCCAGATGGCGGGACTTCTGCCGGTGGAAGGAGAGGGGTGACTGGCCTCCAGGGGTCTTGCAGCGGGCTCCACTTGGTGCCAACACTGCTCTGGTCCTCTCAGCATCCCCAGCCTCTCTATTCATCCTGTGACAAGAGAAAAAAAATGCTATCAGTAGAAGCTGGGCAATCCATACCTTTTGGGGATGGGTTATAGAGCCACTAAGCACAGGACCTAGTACTGTATTTCTTTGGAAATGCTGTCCCTACCGCAGTCTCAAATGGGCCATATGATATAATGTGCAAATTTGGGTTATAGAAATGATTTCTTGTTGCTTTCTGAAATGCAATTTCTGTCTATAATTAAAGCCAGCTAAGTAATTTAAGGAGATTAAAACTGCCACAAGGACAGATGACTTAGACTTATGAACCACTGCATCTGATATGATAGGACGTATCATCCTGGATCCTACTGTGACATAAGTAATCTGCTCCTTAAAGACTCGAGGAGAGCCTCCAGGGGGTTATAATTTATTTAGGGTGGAGCCCAGAAGATAGTCCCACCAAGCAGGGGTTCTGAGAGTTGATGACCCAAAGGTATGTCTCAGCAGGCATGCTCTATGACACCCCCCGTTGTTTCATGAGGTGGGGCTGAAAATGGTTCCCCAAAAGGGAAAAATTTACAAGGAATCAACTTGAAACTAAGACTACACACAAGAGGACAGACGGTGTCTATTCTGGGATTACCTCAGGCTTGGCTCTTGTGCACAGGGAGTTTGTAGCAGCTGAGCCAAATGCACGTGCCCTCTGAAAAGCGGGAGCCTCACCATAGGGCAAAAATGACAGACTGTTAAGATTGAGGGTGTCCTTGAAATGCGAGAGACTGGAGCCCCCCAACCTTCCCTTTGATACATAAAATCCCTATGTTCTCCCTCGACTCCCTCAAAGAGAAATGCCCCCCTTCCCACCCACCAGCAAAATTCTAATTTACAAAAAAAAGGGGGGGGGTGCCAGTTGTCAGAGTTCTGGCCTGCCAGACAAAGCCGAAGACTCAGAGCCAATTGAAAGCTGAAGCAATGCCCATTCAGGTTTCCAGTCATGAAGGCCATGTGGCTGCCTGCACGGATGGGTGCCATACCATGGACAAATGCAGGGCTTAGCCATCTACACATAGAGTGGCTGGGATTCTGGTACAAGACTTAGAGGAAGCCTTCTTATTAAGTCCCATTTGATATCCCACCCCTACATGCAATCAAAGGAGCCCTGGTGATGCAATGGTTGAGAGCTTGGCTGCTAACTGAAAGGTCAGCAGTTCGAACCCTGATGATCTGGTCTTGTAAGATGACAGCCTAGGAAACCCTACAGGGCAGTTCTGCTCTGTCGCATGGTCACTAGGATCGGAATTGACTCAACAGCATCTAACGATGACAACACCACCTACAATCACACATGACTGCTTAGAAGGAAAAAGAACTAAATGCCTTTGATGTCTGGGTGGGCTCTTGATTCTGGAAGGAAGCAAGCTAAAGACCCCTGGAGGTGATGCCCAGGAGGAAAGAGGAGGGTACAGATGGGTATAGGATCATAGGGTCTCTTCCAGGGACATGGGGAGGGGCCTAGAACTCCTGGAAGCTAGAGCTTCAACTGTCCTCTTGCTCCAGAGCTTGTGGGAGCCTCCTCAGACTTGGGACCTTTGGGATGTCACCGTACTGGACTCACTAAAGGGTATTGTGAGTGATGGACAGGGGTGGCTGTGCTCATGTGCTTCTCCTTATTCACTGTACCAGTAGGTGAAGAGGACAGATGGTCTGGGGATGAGGAGGGGACCATAGGTGTCAAGGTGGTGGTGCACTGAGCTCCCACATATTCAAATCATCACTCATCGCCACCATGCTTTGTCTTGTCTTGGTTTGTCCCCCATCTCCCTCTCCAAGCTCACATCTTCTGAGCTGCCCTCTTGTTCTCAATAATCCAGCTGCCCTGGTCCCCTGCGACATGCCAAAACCAAAAGACAAACCTATTGCCATCGAGTTGATTCTGACTCACAGCAACCCTCACTGGGTTTCTGAGGTGGTAAATCTTTATGGAAGGAGAGAACGAGAATAGAATAGAATAGAAGGGCTGTGTATGCACAGGGAGAGAGCTCAGGGGGCAGGAATGCATGGGAGGGAAGGACACAGGGAAGAGGTAACTATGGGGAGGAAGTGGGAGGGGAGCTGTTGCATTGTGGGAAATTGTAGTCTATGTCATGAGACCAAGTATATGCGAACTGATGTATGCAAAGTGGATTTGCTCTACAAACTTTCACCCAAATCACAATTTAAAAAAAAAAAAGAAAGAGAGATTGCACTGTCTTCCTTCCTTGGAGTGGCGGTGGGTTTGAACTGCCAACCTTCTGGCTAGTAGTCAAATGGCTAGTAGGCACTGTGCCACCAGAACTCCTTTTTCCTACCTCTCACCCCTGGGTCCTAGCACCTACCTCATTGGGAGGCTAAAACCAAAAACAAACCCACTGCTGTAGAGAAGATTTTGACTCATGATGACTCCATGAGTTACACAGTAGAACTGTGCTCCACAGGGTTTTCTCAACTGTAACCTTTATGGAACCAGACAGGGAGGCCTTCCATGGTGCTGCTGAGTTGGTCTGAAATGGCAACCTTGAGGTTAGCAGTCATGTGCAAACCACCGTACCACCCACTGGGAGAACGAAAAACCAAAAGCCCTTGGCACAGATAATTGCTCAAACAGTGGTTAACATCTATGACTAATCATTAATAACCAATCATTCCTGGTTATCAACCATTAATAATTAACAGGTAATAGTCATCATTATTAGCTGCTAATACTCTTTGAATCTCTAACCCACCACTTGCCACAATTAAAGGCTCCACTGAAGTGCCGAGACAGAGGACAGAAGAATGAAGAGGCTGGTGACCTTGCCTCGTGTCATTTCTAGGAAGAGGGATTAGCCTCAATACACTCAGACAAAAGCCACCCAATTTTCCCAGAGCAGCTGCCTGCTTTCCCATTTTGTGGCTGTCACCTCCCATCTCCGTCACCAGCTGGACACAGGCTGGGGATGGAGCTGGAGGGCTCCTTTATGATTACCTGAAGGTGTGTTTGTCAACATCATTGCTTTGGAATTGTTCCCCTAATACATGGCAAGATGGCTTTCACACACTTCCTTTTTTTTTTTTGTATTTTTTAATAAACAGCTTGGAGCTGCCAGGGGCAGTGGGTGACCGCAGAGCTGACAAAAGTCATTCCCGTCCTGTCTAGGCCCTGAAAGGAGGTGGGCATGATGGATGTGTCTTGTGCGCTAGGTCTCATCCATCGCCTGCCATGTGGGGACGGCAGCAGTGAGGATTCCTTTGGCTGAATCTCTTGGGGCTCTGCCATCCTACTTGCCCCAGCTTCCACCCCCACTACTGGCTCCAGATGCTGAGATGAGGCCCAAGGAAAGGGAGGCAGGAGGAGCTGCAGGGGGAGGAGGAGGAGGAGAAAGAGGAGGAAGGATAGCACAGGAGGGAGGAAAAGAAAGGAGCAAAAGCAGAGGAAGTAGGGAAATTGCAGACCTTGTACCTGTGCTGGGCTCTTGCCTGCTCTTGTCTCCACATACCTGGAGTGAACCCTGGTGGAGCAAACGATTTGCACTTGACTACTAACCTAAAGGTTGGCAGTTCGAACTCACCCAGTGGTCCAATGGAATAAAGGCCTGGTAACCTGTTTCCATAAAGATAGCAGCAAAGAAAACCTTACAGAACAGTTCCACTCTGCAGTATGTGGGCTCTCCAAGAGTCAGAACTGACTTGATGGCAATAGGTTCGTTTTGTTGTTGTTGTTGTTACTCCTGGAGTTAGCACAGTGCTGGGGGCACAATGGAGGCTCAGTAAGAGAGGTCAAATTGAATCAAGTGGATGAGAAACAGGAAGTTGGTAGGATGAGAGAAGTGGTGGGGGGAAAAGGCAAGTGGGAGGAAGAGGAGAAGTAAGAGCGAAGGAAAAGGAAGCCAAACAAACAGGAAAGAAGTTGAAGTGAGAATGGACGAGGGACATGAGAGGAAGTGGAAATAGACCAGAGGTGGAGATGGAGGAGAAGGAAGAGGGGGACCAAAGGAAGAGAGGACAGTGGCAGAGTTGTGCAGGTGGCAGCTGAGAATCTGACCTCCTCATCTTACACAAAAAGGTGGGAGAGGCTGGAGACTGGGGGAGGCAGTCAGCGGTCCAGGTGTGAGGCATCCGGAGGGCCCAGCTTATGAGTGCCAGGGCCCAGGCCCAATAGGGCACAGGCTCATGGGGCCTACACCATGGAGGTCCCCCCAGCTCTGCTAGCCCCAGGAGGTTCAGCCCCCCTTACCACGGCTCTGCTGCTCAGGGCCACCAGGAGCAGCACTTTCCATAAAGGTATGAAAGCCAGTCCCCAGCCTGGCTGTCACTAGACCACTGAATCCCACCTAGGCCGGATGACTTGGGGGGCACATGCTGGGCCCCACCTTTCTGGAGTGGTTTAGTGACTTGGGAGCCAAGCTGATGGGCTTGAAACAGGAATACAAGCCACGCAAAGTTGACTCCTGGGGGCTGGAGAGGAGAGGGCATGGGGCAGAATGAGGATCAAGGGAGAAGAGATGAGAAGAGGAAACAGAGTGGGGGCAGAGAGAGGGAATTGGGGGGGGGAAGGCAGGAGGGAGAGCACGAGGAAGGAAAAGAAGTCACCGTACAGCTGATGGCTCCCTCCTGGGCCTACCACTCAGAGAGCCCCCCCATCTCTGAGTTCCTTTTCTATTTCCCGTTCTTTGCATCCCCTCCTTTCTGTGCAGACGGCAGAGTTGAATCTGAACTCAGACTCCCTCCAGCAGGCTCTGGGGTGGGGATCCCAGTTCCGCTGTCTGGGGCAGGCTGCTCCTCTTCATTTCTGTCCTGGATTTGGACAATTCAAACACATCCCACCTGCCTTCATCCTGTGGCCTGAGGGGGACTCATTTTTTCAGCTGTCCCCTCAAGATGGCTCGACTATGCCTGGAAACTGCCTCCACTAGTACCACAGGATGGACAGACAGCAGCTAATCAACATATCACGGCGCTGGGCTCCTGGAGCCTTGGCCAGGGAGAGCCATGATGGATGGAAGGCTGTCTGAGTGGCTGCGAGAC